GCTGTTCACAAACTATTGCGAAATGAGACATCGACCTTAAGGATAAAGAATACGATCATGTTTGACCGGGGTGATCAGTAAGATGCATAGAATACGCGGTCAAAACATATTTTCGTATTCAAAATGTAGAAACTGTTCTAATTTCACTGCGCTTTTTTATGAAACGGTAAATAAGATACAGTTAAATACTTACAACCGTTGGTTTTTACACATTTCTATAAGGTTGCCAGAAAAATAAAGAAAATGAAAGAGTGAAATGGAATTGGTTTTCTGTATTGCGATTGACTGATATTCAAAACATTTCTTATTCGCGACAAAATTCAAGGTAACATCAAATATACCAAGTATGAAACAGTTAGCGGACTATCCCTCTGACCTCTATTCTTGTAACAATTACACCTAGCAATGTTTTAAACAAATAGCTTCATAACAAGGGTAAGGTCACCGGCGGGTCTATTACACAAGCGATATTGAGGTCGCTTTCTCATTGTATTGTCTCCTTGGTTGCCCCCGCAGTGGTTTCGAAACCTTATGCCCACATGTGATGGTCTAATTATAACCATTGTAGTTTCAGGGGACACCCATAATCGAAACCATTACTTCTTTCGTAACGCCTGTATGTCTTAAAACTTGTTCTGGTTCTTAATTCTAGATAAACAATAATAAAGTAGTGAAAACAGAATCATAATATAACATTTCCATATAGTTAGGTTGATACATCAGAGGTGCCTTATCCCGGAGCTGTGGACAACTTAACGAGTTACCGGGGCTCCAACTCGAATAGGGTAGAGTTTTAGAGTCAGTAAGAGTCTGACACTCTCTCTCGCCTCACCCACGGTGGCAGAAGACATTAGATTTTCTCCTTCAAAAAAGAGAGGTGTCTTATACTTTTACTCGTTACGTAATTTTAAAGAAGGAACATTATTTTCTGTACTATCTTATAATCCCAATTTGTAAAACAAACACGTATCAATTATAGTGAATTCTTGTGAGTTGTTTGTCTGTTCGCTTGTCTATCAGGTATAATACTGTACCATACAAGGCAGCAAGCCACGTGCGTAGGAAGTATAAGACTGTTCATCCAAATATGTGAATCGCAAGGTCTTTGAGGTCGACGACCACCAACAATATAATGTTTTGGTAAAACGATTAAGGACTCTTTATAAAATTAGCTGCGTTCATTAATTATTTCCTTCCATTTGTTAGAGTATGTGTTTAAGAAGAAAAGAAGTGAAGATTATACTCTGGGATTATAATAAAATATAAACGTTATCTTTGAGAAAGTTCCTATATAAATCAAACATCCAGTAATAAACAGCCAGATCAGATTACTATTCCACCAGAATATGAGACTGAGAAAAATTGAGTGCACCTGTATTTTCCCACAGACTTGTGTAGCACAACATCAACTGTGCAATATTATTGTCTAATTGAGTGTAGTTAAACATGTAGTAGGCAGTAATATCTTAAAACGATTCAACGTGTTTATTATTTGAATTTCCGATTTCATCATAGTTACAAGAGCCATGATCATGGTTACAAACTTTAATCTAATAAAAGTTGAAAATCAATGTCAGTTTGAGATCTTCTAGTAGTGTCCCACAATGCGACATTTATAGGCACAATTATTGCTATTTGGAAAGTGTCAATTTTACACGCAACAACAGATTTACATAACGGGTCTTTTGAGACGCACGACTCGTGGTGTGATTAACCAAATAACCATGATTTAGGGCCTAACACCGTTAGGGTGTGGGCGGAAAAGTGCAAAGACCTAAAAATATGTAATCGTCAGTAATCTCCACGTGTCCTCAGTTCGTAATTTGTTTGTTTCAGTATCATTTTCCCTCATAAGTAGGGGTTATGGTTCTGAGGTGTATCTACAAACACGGACTGTTTTTAATGATTACTTATAGTTTTATACTTACTAACAGTAAGTTAAGATTTGTGATTCTGTAGACCATGAATGTGATCTGCGATAAATAATTATGTATTTAATGTTGTTTTTATTGCGTAGAATGTTAAAATAACTTTTGTCAAGGCGATATCAACTTAAAAATCAAAAATAGGTGCGACTTGATAGTAAAACAGGTTGGTGAGTCAGCTGCGTCCAGACAGAAAGGCCAAATAAACTAAGAGTAAAGTTGCAGAGCCACTCGCGACTTGCCTAGCGACCATTTTCCGTACAAACGATGAGTCATCGAGGAATTTCTCTGATTGCTACTAAGAATCATGTAGTTGTACCAACTTGGCAGAATGTATGTAGCGTGTGGCGATGCAGTTTTTGTGCTGTTTTCCTGGATTCGAAAGGCTTAGGAGTTATGAAGATCTAGGTTTTTATTGGATGTTCTAAAATTGGGAAGCCGAGTCGATGAACAATTGTGACCTGTATTTGTATTGTAACTTTCGTGAGACATACTAAATAAATTATTATGTTTTCGGCTTACTCACGTAGTAATTTGACGAGGAACTCGACTAGTATCAAGCCATGCTAGAGGCTCATATTCATGAGCAGCATTTCGCGACCAGCGACGCAGCGAGTGTCGCGCTGCTACCAGTAGTAGATTACTACGTAAGTAAGCCGAAAACATAATAATTGTGACCTGGTTCTATTTGTGGAAAGGTCGTAATAAGTTTTTCACAGTGTTTTCTCTTCACTTCTTTGCGTAGATACTAACGGTTAGAAAAATGCGTAACTAATTTAAGTAGGTTTTGATAATGATATAGCGAATTTGTGTAAGTTACCACTTTGGTACTATGTATTAAGTATCACCAATCACAGATCGCAGTTTTGCACCTGCGCGCCACGGTATGCGCGCGCGATGTTTTATTTATTTATAGTTGTTATTTAATTGGTTTTGTAGTTTACAGGATAGTGATTATAATACCAATCGTATACCTGGTGATCACATAATTTAATTATGTATTACCTTAAATAACATACAAAATATGGGTACACGTATTGGGCACATGTTGATCGAAACTCGAATTATAAGCGTGAATAGTTTGCGGTTATATTTAATAGTTTGTCTGTTTGACATTGTCTTTAGGCGTCAATTATTAGCTAATATTTTCATAGAATTGTCTGAAAACCAATTGATCCTTAATTATTAAAGAAAATGTGGCGGGCACTGGGCAGAGGCGTAACTAGACTCTTCCAAGTCCGTGGCAATTTCACCAGATGGGCTCTCTTGCTTATTACAACAGAGAGGTTCAGGTAGTAAGCTCTAGACGGGGCCCCCTTTCGGATCCCGGGCCCGTGGCATTTCTCTAACTTGCCACCCTGTATTTACGCCACTGGGGGTGGGGCAAATAGTAGGGTGTACAACAAACTACTGTAAACTGGAATTTTGTTAAATCGGTTTTTATTTTTGTATTAAAAATAAGTAAAGTAGAATATTTAAAACCTAATTAGGTACAAGCTAGGGTAGCATAAGATGTTGAATTAACTATTGCCAACATAACCATAAAGAAAAGATAAACTCTCAACATTCTTATTGAGACCTTCCTTCCATTACATTCTTGTTGTCACCTTTTGCAACATTTGCATCTTTTCCTTATTGGAACTTTACTTATTAAAACAATAGTATTAGTTGGTTATATAATTAGTTATTTCAATTTAGTAAACTTCAAATAATTTTGTAAAATTTTTAAACAGTGACATAAACTCTATTTTTTTTTAATATTAACTGGCCATAGACATCTTTTAGTAATTTGTTTTTTTTTTATTGAAGTAAGTAACTACAATAAATGAATAATAATATTGTAATAAGTAAGGAAAAGTTTTAAAAATATGTTTGTACATTTACAACTGCATATAGGTACATATTTACATCAGATAAAGATGGTTTTAAACTTTTAATTGTAAATATAATTGTTAACAGGAAGTATATCAAGGTTTATTTACAGAGTATTCTGTTTGGTAATACAGATAATTTGGGCAAGGACAAAATTATACCTCTTTTCTTAATAATCAAGAAATGTTTCATTGAACATACAACTTTTATACAAACTTGAATCATATTTTAATGAGCATTGAGTATGTTTTGGATTGTACTCTGAAAAAATAAAGTTTAAAACTGTTCCTACTAAATAAAATATAAACACAAAATAATTACCTTTTCCTAATTTATTGAAGTTGATAAGAATTCTTATAAGTTTACCGACAACACAGGCTATACACTCAGACGGGCGAAACGACTTTTGTTTCCTATGAAATCTTGCACTTGGTGAACAAAAAACATAATAATAAATTACTTAACTCAGTAAAAACAAATTGTAATCAGTTTCCGTTGAGCCTAATTGTAATCAAAGCGGATCTAAGTTATTAAAACTTGTAACCAAGCGGCTCATAGTAGAAATATCAGCCAATTAAGACATAAAACTTAAAATCATGCAATTTATTGTTTCGAATTATCGTAACAGACTTACCTAACAACGACGCAGCATAAACTAAATAGAAAAGTTAAGAAATCATACACTGACGATTAATATCATTAAAATGTTTAATTTGTGTAATTATTCGTATCGTAAAACAAAGTTTTTAAACTTCACCATCACAACAAAAACATTTTGCGAACTTCTAAAAGTTACAGACAATAAACAAAATAAAGTAAACGTCAAGTGTGTACAATCAAAAACTGTACCTTTAAAGGGTAATTTATTGTTATTGATTACATTATGTGTTTATATGTATATCATTATTCACTTTGAACAAGTATGGCATATATTTCTCAGGATTATACGATTATCATAGAAAAAGATGAATAAAACACAATTTCCTCTCTTACAAATTGTTTTAATTGTTATCGGTTTCTGAACGTACCCAGTGACGTTCGTTTATGAAACAAGCTATAAACTTCAATATTTTTAGATTGTTCATAAAGACGGATGGTTTATCAATTGAATAGTTGTTGCTAAAAATTCATTTATTATGATTAAATATCAAAACTTTTAAGGAAAATCGATAACACATATGTTTGAACTAAATAATTTTGTTTCGGTGTGTGAAGTTAGTTATGGTAGTTAGTTTTTGACATCCAAGCAGAACTCTCACGAAAAGTTTTAAGTTTTGTTTACTTTCGATTCCCATGGCAACAAAAACGTAAATAGAAAGTAAAAAAGTTTGTTAAAATTAATTATTAGAATTTAAATGTGAATTATGGGAAGCATGACTCGTTGGTTAGACGTGGAAGTGGGAAATGATGATATAGATCTAAATACTCTACCACAAAACTTAGCTTTGCTGGATTTACAAAATGATAACGAATTCAAACTCCTCGTTGGAGACTTCGGAAGAGGTGAAGATGGGCCTAAATTAAAGGTGAACTCATTAAGTCTATAAATGTTAATTTATAATTCAATTTACATTTCATGTGTTGAAACAAATTAAAAATCCCTAATGTGGGTATTCCAAGGTACATACTCACTGACCGGCTTTCTTCTTTTCTTTTAAAACTAAGCTATCAAACAGCAATATGAAGCTGTTATAAAAAATAAACTTCCCTGAAAGAAAAATTCACAACCAAAACCTAACCTAACCTAACCATGTTCTTTTTATCCACAGATATTTAAAGGAGCAATGCAAATATTTGATATGGTACTCCCAGACTTGCCTCTAGGCGTAGTCGGTTTCTATATAAGTGAGACAGTGCCGCGATCTGTTCCTATTGTTGCCGTGGCCTATAGCTCCTGTATATTCATGTATAGAAACTTAAAACTCTTTTATAAGTACTACCTGCCTTCGACGGAGCTCAGTATGTGTGAGATGGAAGTGTGGAAGCAGGTTGATTATTTTGGCACATTCCTTTATTTGTAACTTATTTAGGTGCATCTTATCATTTTGAGTCCATAAGAAGTTATTAAAATTAGTATATTATTTTTTGATTACATACATGCAATTGGATTGCAATTTACTTACTTCAACTCATATTGATTAAAAGCCAGAACCATCTCTCCTAATAAAAACTAGTTAGGAAAAGCCATCATAGAGAATAAAAGTAAACATTTTTCCTTGAATTTATCTATGCTAGATTACTTCATATTTACAATCATAACTCGTTGAAATCCATCCCCTAAATTTGTTCAAACAAAAGTAGTCTCTAAACATTGGAAATAAGGTCTATAATAGAGTTAGTGGAGAGCGGTCACCGGTGACCGCTTGGGGATGTATGGGTTAATTCAACTAGTAACCCTGTGGTATATCTGTGACCAACTCATGTTGAAACACATACTTATTTAATCACATTTTCATGTTTCCAGTTAGTAAACCCAGTGAACCAAAACGCAGATGCAATAAAACCGCTGCTGGACAGTCTAAAAGCAATACCCCACGACCTCTTAACAGCTCAATCAGAATCTCCTAGCATTTAATACAGAACAGCAACTAGAATACTTGGAGAACAATACAGAGTTACCAAGTAAGAAGAATGCGGAGATTGTCTGTGTCAGTACATTAAAGATGCACTCCATAGACAAATGGTCGGTCAGTTGTCTTGTTGTGGCTACTGAAGATGGAGATGTGATGTTTCTGGATCCTCAAACCTTCAGCCAGTTGTCTCAGGTGTTTTAACTCGTCGAGTACCATATTTATAGACACAATTAAAGAACAATAGGTTGCGGTCACCGGTGACCGCTTGGTGTTTGACAGTTTAAAAACTGTTGAGAATATTGATGTGTTACCTAGTGGTTTTGACATAGATGAGTTGCGGGGAAGAATGGAATGAATGAAATGAGAAATGGAAAAAAATCAGAAAGTCAGCAAATATTATTAAGTGAGACACAAGCTGAATATTTAGATTACATTATTTTATAAATTTTAGACATACATAATGATAAAAATAGCTATGTGAGCTCCAAATGTCTAGTTCGATTTTTGTTCCAATGGTATTCAGAAAATGGGACAGTGCTTCTGCAATTTTAGTTTCCAAATAAATAATGTTTGCTTTTGTCTAGGCCAAATTATGTGGTGTAAAGAAAACGCCATTCCAAATGGTAACGTCAGGACTGTACACTGTCGACTACAGAGTAACAATCGCGACGAGGTGTGACTTATTGCTATTCACATTTTAAAGGCACCTCACGTATTCTAAGTTTTCAATCACAATATTCACAGCACAGATTTAAAAATACAAGTAGTATATTTAGTGCATGGCACTAGCTAGTCCTAATTAACACTTTACCAGAACCTCTTTTTTCGAAAAACGAAAGTTTTTACAAAATCTCAAGTTCAATACTTTTATACATTTTACCTGATGGCACTTGGCAGCATGGCACTTACTAATCTCTATTTATAATCGGATTTTATAGGTAATTACAAAAGTTTGCATGTTCTTGTTTAGTCACCCGTTAGTATAGTTACCTTACTTTACCAGTTAGGTGCTGTAATTGAGATAAAATCGCTAAGCGAAGTCGCTTAGCTTCACTGACATACCGACAGACGGACGAACAATTAAATTTTGGACGTTTCGGAAGTGCCTAATTAAGGGTCTATTGAAATAAATGCTTTGACTTTGAACATTAACCATAACCATCTATGATGGCAAGATATGAAAATTAAAACTAAAACGTCATTTCTACGTATAAAATGTACATAGAAGTGACGTCACGCGACATTTCAAATCAATACATATATCGTGGAAAGTATTCATTTCTGTAAGAAAATAAAAAATACGTGTCTAATGATTTAAAATAATCTACCAGACGGACTTATCATCTAATAATTAGGCATCTACCCTATTAGATATTCCTTTCCTGCTTTACAGAGAGAAGACAGTGTGTGTACTGAAAAGAGACTGGGCAGAAGGTCGCATACTCTTCAACACGGATGACCACATCATTGCCATCGAGGTGGTGACGGCCGACAGCAGCGTGATGGTCATCTGTGCTGACCATACCATGGCCTGTTATAATAAGAAGGTAAATAATAATATGCAAGACAACTCTTTGAAATGTCACATCTGACATCTGTCTAATCTGACATCATACATGTTAAATTATGTACTTTCTTAATAATTGTGACTGTTGATTTTTAAATGGGATAAGTGATAAACGAGCAGACCTGCAGCTGTAGCCAATGCCATTTAGCGCTTATCTATATGTAGAATAGAAAACCAAATTATATGGAATTGACGTAAATTTTGACACTTGTCAGTGTCATCCGCATACATTTTGCGCGCTAAAGCGCTAAAGTGACGTGTGGCTAAAGGCACTGATGGCAAACAATCACCGCCATTGCTGTAGCTGGCCTTTGAGGGAATAGGGGGGCTGTGCATCATCCCTTCTCTCTAACCATACTTTTAATACGTTCTATGTGTATATGTAATATGCATGCACCGTTTTTTACTTTAACATTTCTTTATTAAAGCATCTTCCATCTTTAATTTCAGGGCAAGAAACAGTGGTGTTTGACACTAGAACACCGTCCGGTCGCCATGACACTCGTGCCAGTGTTGCATCTCGGCGTCACCTTAACAGGAGTAGCGCTAGCGTCGGGGCATGTACACTTGTATGATGGAAAATCTAGAAGAGACACCGTGTTTGTTAGAGGTAATTAACAAACATTTATATTTAAAAAACAAGAAAAAACATAAAACAAATCTATGTGGTGACAAGAAAAAAAAAACAATTATTACTTAATTCAAGGACATTGAAAAAAAAGCGGACATATGCTGGAATACTGAAATTTTAAATCGTGCTTAAATATCGTGCTGTCTCTGTCATTTTACAAAGAATTTGTAGAGCCAGAAATATGCATAAGCGCGACTTAAAATTGAGTAACGTTTAAGTATTCGGGCAATAGTCTCTTGTAACAACGACTGTGGCGCCTTATAGACATAGACACAGAATACACACACATTGACACGAAGGATATCTGTCGAATGACATGACCCGCCATTACACTTCATATATTACGGTGTTGCAAGTATACGCACACATAAATATACCACAGACATTTTGGTACTTTAATTCTTTCTAAGTGACATTACGCCCGCCTTTTTTCAACGTCCTTGACTTAATTATTCTTTAATTATGAGACTACACATTTGATAGAGGCCCATCACCTCTGATAACCCTGAACCTTTCAAACTGGAGGATTATGGCAAACCCTCTTATAAAATCAAACCCTAATAAGGTATAGAGACGAGGTCCATAGTCTACCTGTGAATTACCAAGGGCTGTTGGTAATGGAATACTTAATATAAAATACCTGACTGCTTCATTGGCCCAGTGGTCGCAAGTGCGACTGCAAGGGATCTCTGGTTCGATTTCCTTGTCGGGCAAGTATAACTGGGTTTTAAAAAAAGCGTAGCACGGTGTCTGGAAATGAGCCCGGTATATGGCAATAGGCTCACCCCCTACTACATGGGACTCATAACATAAAATAGTGAAAAGTGGGTGTTACATTGTACAGTGACATTAAGTGCTGCAATGTGCACCTCTGCCTATCCCTTCGGGGATAAAAGGTGTTAAGTTATGTTATGTTATAAAAGAGCTAACATTTGTTTCATATTATCATTTCAGATGTAGTGTCCGTGATGAAGTTTGGACAATTAGGTCAGGAAGAACATGTACTCATCATTGTTACTGGAGGTAAGTGATGAGAGCTGAGTTTTGATCCTCAGGTTGGGCAAAGTGCAATTCCAAAATAAATTAGGTAAGGTAATTGTCATCCACCCGACACAATTTAAATTCAGTGCAATTACTGGGATTTTTGTAATAAGCCGATAGGAACCCAAGAATACTTTGCCCGACCCGGGAGAGGAACGTGAGACACCTACCTCAGCATTGACAAGCGACAGCTCTTTTGAGGCAGTCTAAAAATTAGTGCCTAAAGTAACAATTTTAATTAATTTAATTTTCTCAGGTGGCAATCTAATGCTGAAAATTTTGAAGCGTACGGCAGATTTCAGCGCGCACGCAGCCGGTGTAGAGATATCCCCGAGCGGTCCCACTGGACAGAAACCATGGCTCATACCTAAGAAGTCTAAACTGTTTCTAGAACAATCTGCTAGGGAGAGAGAAAATGCTGCTAGTAAGTTTATAACATTATATACTCTATTATCTTTAACATAAGGTTTACTTTTACTATTTGACATTGAAGATTTAAAAAATATGAATCTACTTAGTTGAATAGCTTTATGCATATTTTATGAAATAGTTGAACCTAGTTAAAGTCGCCAAAAGTCCTGTTTTTGCTCTTTCGTATTTGCTAGATTTTGGATTTCTTTTGTTGTGTATTCTCAGTCAGTTTCTTTAATACCCAGTCATCATCTACTATCATCAATGCTTTTTTTATCTAATTGGGATGATGACAGGGTATGAAAATTAAAAATGTAATTAGTCCGTAAGTTAGGTAATGAAAAAATATACGACACGTATTTTTTTATTTTGTCGTATAATTAAATAATACTTAGATAAAACGAATCAAAGTTTAGGAGTGGGGGCTAACACGTCATTTCTACGTATAAAATGTACATAGAAGTGACGTCACGCGACATTTCAAATCAATATCGTCGAAAGTATTCGTTTCTGTAAGAAAATAAAAAATACGTGTCTAATGATTTAAAATAATCTACCAGATGGACATTAAAATAAAAATTAGGCATCTACCCTATTAGATATTCCTTTCCTGCTTTACAGAGAGAAGACAGTGTGTGTACTGAAAAGAGACTGGGCAGAAGGTCGCATACTCATCGCATATAGGGTTTCACTAAGCATTACTTGATTCAAATAAATATAACTGATGTTATTGTTTATAGTGATGCACGAAACGTTCCAACACGAGCTGAACAGACTGCGCCTGCTGGCCGCGCGGACGTTGCTGGAGGCGCACGTGCGCTCCGACAACTCGGTCGGCACCGGGCCCATGGAGGCCATGCGGCTTACTGCTGAGGTGAAATAACTTACTTATCATCTGGTTGCTTACTTTCGGGGTCCGGGGTTCACAGTCCTGGGCCTTTAGCCAAACGCCACTTTAGCCCTTGTCTATAGAAAGAGTAGAAATCAAAATGTATGAGGATGACACTGACAAGTGTCAAAATTTACATCAATTCCATATAATTTAGTTTTCTATTCTACATGTAGACAAGCGCTAAATGGCATTTGGCTACACTACTGGTTTTTTTTCTCTTACTTCACGCGGTTTTTCACATGCTTTTTAGTTTACCGGCAGGACATCATTAGGCAGTAGGCATATGGCTTTCCCGATATTGAATACTTACGGGTCAATTACATCTATTGCTATCTCCTCCTGTAAATCATTATCGGATGAAAAATGATAATCAACTTTTTTCTTATTTCTGTTTAGGTGGAAGGCCTAGGTCCAGTGTTCCGGGTGACGTTGATAATAGAGAACAACTCCAAAGAAAAGGCAGTGATCGGACTCGCCATACTATTCCACGTCCACACTGTCAACTATAAGGTCTCCAATCCTTATATCAAGGTATACTTTTATAAAATTAATTTATTAAAAGGTCATAAAAATGATATAACATAGCTTATACTTACCTTACCTACCCAAATTTCATTTTTATCAAATTAGTTCTTTAGTAATCATTACAGTATCTATCTACATTGGTATCATACCTCTTTTATCAAAAAAATCATTCCTGCAGGTGCCTCTTCTCTCACCCGGTGGAAAACTAAAATTCCCAACGAAAATCGAAGAAGTATTTGACGACAATATAAGCCCGGACGTTTTATTCCGCCCTGTCACTGGACAAGGAGGGGAAAGATCTTTAATCAAAGTGCTCTTACTAAAGGAGGGCAGAAAAACTCCAGTACTTGCAGCTACAGTACAAATGCCACCCACAGACCCTATGATGTTACCCTTCGATAAAATGCAGACAATCGCTGGACTTGACTCCAATGATGACCCGAATTGGGCCCCAAAAACGTAAATTGCCATTAAACGCCATCTAGTGTCTAGTTATAATACTTATGATGTGTGGTAAAGCTAAGAGATGGCGTAGTTGAAAGAGGTTTTATTTAAAAATATGTTTGTGATAAACGTGTACATAAAATACTCTAAATAAATTGATATTATTTTACTGTAGTCTTTTTTTAGTTTAAAAAAGTAGTGTTAAAGCGTAGTACTTAACTCATAACTGCTTTCCAAAGATCCACCATCACCGAGATACCTTTAAAAATGGAAATAAACAAGCAAACACTGCGACCAAATAATAGTTTTACCGGTAATAACATTACACATAGCATGACGTGTAAAATAGATAATATTAGTGAAGATTGTTCAAGGATTATAGGTACACAATGATAACTAAGTACTTACAGTTATCAAAGTTAATGTTAGGGACATATCGACAAACATTTTGTGGGCCTTGTAGCATAATAATAGTGATAGCAATACATACCTTCTCTAAATGACCGGTGTTTATAATCTGACTGATTCTATCTACTTATTCACCTTGACCATAGGATAAAAAGTTACCTTGATTGGTCTGATGATCTTGTGGAAGAATTTTGGCGTCAGTGACCGTCTACACGCTATAGTCAAATCTCAATACCTATTACCAGTGGCAAAACTATAGAGTGGCAAGTCAGCAAAATGCCACTGGGCCCCAGCTGGAAGGGGCTGAAATTTAGAGGTTTTTTATCTGAAGTTCTATCTTTTTTAAAGGGAACGGGAGCTCATCAGATGATTTTGCCACGGACCCCGAACGGTATTATGTAGATGTGCCACTACTTATTACTTGGTTGTTATTTCTGCCATCAATTAAATCGCCCTGAACATCATTTTTTGCTCTATATGAGTCTGACGGTCAATTCTGTCGTTCTCGATGTGTCGCTACGAACCGCTCCAAAGAAGTAAGCAGATCTGCATCAGAGCTGTTAAACAGATACCCCATCAGGTTTAATACAGGCTTTACGAGCTCTGTAATTTCGCGGAGAACCTAACGGGTAACCGGGGCTCCGGCTCGAAGCGCAGGAGAAAGAACGGGGTGGTTTTTAGTCAGTAAGAGTCTGACACTCCCTACCACCTCACCCAGTCATTCGATTATTTTCCCCCCTTAAAAAAAGAGCTTTGTAGTTTCTAAACTAGACCAGAATAATTTCATTTTAGACTGCAATGTGCAAATTATACTAAATGTGAATGATTTTTCTGTCGGCCACCCTACCTCTAGGTCCTAGGTTCTTTGTTAATTCTTGTAGGTAACAACATAACATATAACATAACTTTACGCCTGTCTCCCATGGCAGTAGGCAGAGACTATGGAACGCCAATTACTACGATTCCTACATACCTATTTCGCTTCATCAACAGTCATCAATCTTTTCGTGAATGCTCGTCGGTTAAGGGTAACTACTGTCCGAAAACTAGAGGTATGTTTTTCTTTTTTTAAATATTTTTTGTCGGCGAAGCTGCAAACATTTTTCATTGCGGTGCAGTACAGGTGCAGCTTATCATTTCAACTTAGACGACCTCTGACGCAAGTTTGTAAGTAGGTATAAGAATGACCTTTATAAAGGACAAGGACATCATCAGTTATGCATAATCAGTCTCATATCTAAAGCCAGGAACAGAAAATGTTCGATAAAGAGCCGAATAAAACTGTCTTATCTATGTACTAATCCTTACTAATATTATAAATCGGAAAGTGAGTTTGTTTGTTTGTTTGTTCCGCTTTCACGCCGTAGCTACAAAACCGATTGCTTTGAATTTTAACAGACGTAAAGTTAGAAGTCCGGATTAAATAATAGGATACTTTTTATCCCGGAGAAATTTGATATTCCCGAGGGAAAACAAAAGTATTGGTATAGATGGCGCTGTGTGTATATGTCACATAGGCTACTTTTTATCCTTTTGTGACGCGAGAGAAGCCAGTGTGTAATATACAGTACAACGTAATATGTATGGGTATGAACTGTTTCAATACCTATCTTCTTTTGTACACAATCTTCAAGTTGATTTCGATTATGACATCCAATCGTATTAGGATTATACAACTGCGCAGTGTTCAGAGTACATTTTTATTAAGTGCACATATTTACCTATGTAGGTAACTAGGTACTAAATTAAGCATGACTACATTATTCGCGACCGCGCATGCTGCTCATGAGGAAGAACCCCTCTGTGGTTCGAAACTAGTACTTTTAAGTGTGAGAGAGCCATGCTTCGGCACGAATGGGCCGGCTCGACCGGAGTGATACCACGGCCTTACAGAAAACCGACGTGAAGCAACGCTTGCGTTGTGTTTCGTCGTGTGAGTGAGATTACCGGAGGCCCAATTACCTTACCCTTCCTCAATCTCCCCAATCCCTGAATCCCCAACGATCCTCAAACTCCTAATCCCCAAAAGGCCGGTAACGCACTTGTAACGCCTCTGGTGTTCCATGTGTCCATGGGCGACGCGGATTGCTTACCATCAGGTGATCCGTCTGCTCGTTTATCAGCTTATGCAATAAAAAAACCTTTTCTCAGTATATTTTACGTGAGTAACCTGCGGTTAAACAGAAAGCTCTATACAGAGGAGTGGAAGGAGCTTAGGCCTTTGCCCTGCAGTGGGGCGATCATGACAGAAATGCATTTACTAAAGCAATGTGTGTGACACCTCGATAGATTGGAGATCACGACTTACATTGATGATCCACTAGACATCCATTGTTAGGGGATCTGCCAGATCTCCATCCAGCGGTTGAGCCTGTCTGCCTGGCCTGTGATTATTTAGAAAACTAACGTATTACGTAATACGTACCTATTTTCGAGGTTTTCATACATAGTATTGGAGAGGCCTTTGTCCAACAATGGATGCACACGGACAAATCAAATCAAATCATGTTTATTTGCTCAAACACATGTGTACATACAATAAACAATAGCATGTAAGATAGCGGGTAGCAGTGAAAAAAGTTCGAGACATGTTTGCCGTATACAATGGCGTGCAAATATAGTAGTCACTCATAATGATTACGAACTAACCGACATCTTTCGAATGTGGAAACCTTATTCAATATTAGACATTGATGGAATATTGAGCTGATGATAAAGCCTAAATTATATTCATACCGTCATATTATTAGGTGCCTAGTAGATAGTTTATGAGCTATCTCACTAGCCTTACTTACTCACCTACCTATTTCAAGAATTGGTGACGTGCATTAGTATGTGTAATAATATTAGTAATGCATCGAAAAAGATAAAGCGCTAACTAAGTAGGTACCTTATCGGATATGATAAGGATTCCTTAATAAAAATATTAACAGCGATTCGAATTTTATAACAGTTTTTCCCTAATTATGAAGTCATCCTGCGTTTCAATTGAACCTCTATCGTTTAAACTGCAACTGATATTGTCTAATTTTAGAACGTATGTCTTAATATACCTACTCAATCAGATTTGAAGCGTTATTTAGAACTAGTGATCAATCGCTGGTTGTAGCAGTTACTAAATGCTACATATCATCATGGTCTAATCTAAACCTTTCCGATTTAGGATCGATTTTTCCAACGCCAGATAAAAACTATTTAACAATTCTCCATTCTAAAAACTGACAAGTGTGAATTTTTTTTTTTTTTAAACGTTGCCCCACACTAGGATTATCTCCTGTGTCGTTGGTGCGTTTACAAACATACAAGTTCACATACACATGACACCCAGACCCGAAACAACAATTTGTGGATCACACAAAGTGTTGTTCCGTGCGGGAATCGAACCCGCGACACGTTGCACGGCAGCCGGTTGCCCAGCCCAGGTTGACTGTTGCTGAAGCATGAAGCAAGCTGAAAATGCAGGTGGCTGGGCTGGGCAGACATACATGCAGGCAAACTGAGAAATAACTTTGAATACCTATTTAACAATTATTCCATACTAAAAACGGACAAATGTGAATTTTATTCCATAGTTAAGAATTAAGTGATGATTGCAAAATCCGCCTTTAAGGCCAATTTATTAATTCTTTATCTGGTGTCGGAAAATTCGGCTCTTAGTCAGTTAATATTAGTGTGTGGTCGTGCTTGCTGCTTAATGCGACATCCATAGAACCACATAGCATAAATAATTTAATAAGTTTCTTAAACAAATGTTAACCAGGATATCATGAACATCAAAATTAAGCATAATCGTTTGGATCCCAAGAAATAGGAATTTACCAAAAGTCGGTTTTTAGTAGGCCTCGAGTGATTAGCACTTCGATAGGTACCTATCTACTTGTACGAGTATAAATTCAAGAGAAAAAAAATATTTATTAGGTAATCAAGAGAATTGACGTGAATCATAACCGGTTTAGGTATTAGATTTTGGTTGTAAAAACTAAAAACCTGTTTTCTGACACCAAGTCATTGCACGCAGCAATGTTAGAAATATTCAGGCAATGGTTGAATATGACTTAAGAATGTTATGTACTATTATTTGTTTAGTTTTTGCTTTGGAGCCATTTTGTCCTGTTTTCCTTCTTTCAACTTTCTTTACAAGTGCCCCTAAAAATATAAGTACACGATGTGTTTGTCTAACCGGACTAAAAATTGGCCGACCTTATTTTATGGAGTCGGGACATCGTTATCACTGGTTTTAACACGTAATCGGAGCTTCAACTTGAAGATAATCGGGGCTCCGACTTGTAATTTATCGATTAAGTCTAAAATAACTACGATCAATGATAAGTAATACTACGTGCGTTGTTCGATAAGTCGACGGCGACGCCGGCCGGCTGATTACGAACTTTACTTAAAGGATTACAAATACAGCTAATTATTATGGGCTTAAAATGCGTTTGTATCCTAAGAGCCAGTGGCGTTGCTAGCGCATGCATTGGTAGCACCCGGGGCGGATTTTGTGGACTAACGCCCCAAAACTAAATCGAAACTTTTAAAATAAAAGTAACAATCATTTACGTTTTATAAAAATATGAGCAATACAAATATTTGTGTAGATATTATGAGTTTGTTGAAAATTAAAATTTCAGCCTTCTAGCTTTGACACTTGCGAACTCCGAAAAAGTTGAGCCCAAACCAATGCCTATATCAAAAGAAGGGCTATTTAGGTAAATATTAGGTATATTAGTAAATATTACCTATATATGCAGTTATTATGTT